TCTGCGGGGGTCATTGTCTTGGATCGATAGGACACTGGCCTCCATTTTCCATCGTCGCATTGTTGCAATGGTATACCTGAGCATACATATTTTGAGGCGTCCGTTTCAATCATTGTCCTTCAGTTTGGATTGAAATGGACCAATATGGGTGCTGATGTTAGATGCGTTCGTATTGCATCATATGCCTTTTGTTCCATTTCTCCCCATTCCCATTTCTTGTCTTTTTTCGTTAGGTTATAGAGTGGTTTTGCAAGTCTGCTAAACCCCTCTCTGAACCTTCGATAAAAGTTGCAGAATCCTATAAAGCATTGGACATCTGTTTTGTTGTTTGGTTTGGCCCAATCCCATATAGCTGCTGTTTTAACAGGGTTGACCTTGACCCCACTCCGATTGATAATAAATCCAAGGTATTCTGTTTCTTCCTTATGGAATTCGCATTTTGTTGGTTTGATCTTCATTCCTGATCCTTGTATTGCCGCCATGATATTGCTGATATCTTTTTGGTGTGGTTGTATGTTTTCCGAGTATATGAGTACATCGTCCAAGTATACGATGCAACATATGTCGAGGTACTTATTAAGTACCTTGTTGATCCATCTCTGGAATGAAGCCAGTGCGTTGGTTAGCCCGAAGGGCATAACCAAGTATTCAAATATTCCGTATCTTGAGGCGAATGTAGTCTTCCATTCGTCAACTGCCTTGATGCATATATTGTGGTATGCGTCTTTGATGTCGAGTTTGGTGAAGTATTTTGCAGATCGTAGTCAGTCCAGTGCTTCCCCAATTAAGGGTAGTGGATATCCATCCTTCTTGGTAACCGAATTGAGGACTCTGTAGTCCACGCATAGTCTCATTTTTCAGTCTTTCTTTTTGACGAATAGTATTAGGGATCCTCCTGACGCGAAAGACTCTCGGATCCGTCCTCTCTTTAGGTTTTGCTGGATGTACTTCCTAAGTTCTTCGAGCTCTGCTTCCCCTAGGGGGTATAACTTCTTATAGGGAATCTCTTTTGTCTTTCCTGTTTTTTCATCTTTGTCCAGCTGAATTTCGTGGTCAATTCCTGGTCTTCGAGGTGGTATCTCCGTAGCTTCCTCTTCTTGGAATAGATTTGTGAATTGGTGATATTCTTTTGGAACCAATTCTTTCCATCCTTTTTTGCTTTGGTATTTCTTGTCCTGAATTGCTAGCTCTGTGCTAATGTTGATTTTTGCTAGAACCGCTTTTTCGTCTTCGTATGTCCATTTGAGAATTCCTGTTGTATCTCCTCTTCCATAATATCGTCCAAAGGCTTGTGCTGTGATCTCTTTGATCTCAATTCTTTTTGTTGTATCGAGCTGGTTTTGGTACGTACTTCCAAATCCCTTGTTTCCTCTTATGGTTTCTTCCAGTTAATCTACTTCATGCAGATCCTCTTTGTTGATTTTTTCGATTATCAACTGTGCGATTCGATCGCCTTTCTGCACTTGGTAGTCCTCTTGAGCTAGGTTGGCCAGGACCACTTTGATTTCACCGGTATAGTCGACATTGATCACCCCTGCCATGGTCATGAGTCGGTGTTTGACTGCTAGACCACTGCGGGGTGCTATTCGTCCATAGGTGCCTTCTGGGAGTCCAATGGCTATTCCCGTCGCTTTCATTGCCTGCCCGTTGGCCGGTATCTTGATTCCTTCGTTGGCATATAGGTCGTGTCCTGCTGTCCCTTTGGAACCCTTGGTAGGCACTTTTGCCTCTTGGTCCAGTCTTTGTATCCGGACCCTCTTGTCTTGCCGCATCTCGGCAAACTTTGCATACAAAGTTTCTTCCTCCGCTTCTCATATCGGTATTGAGTAGACCACAGGTGAACTGTTGAGACATCGTGTCGCATATAGTTCGCATGTAAAGGTCATCTTGTTCTCATTCCAATCAATCGTCGGATTATGCTTCCGTAACCATGGCATCCCTAGGACTATCTCATAGTTCTTCAGATCTGCCACTTGAAAGGTTGCCCTTTCCCTATGGCTGTCAATGTCCATGGGTACTGTCGCCGTATGGGTTATAGGACCCATAGCGCTTGGTTTTCCATCCGCTAAGTAGACCTGTCTTGCTTTCTTCGCTTGTTTGGTAAGGAGGCCGTATTTGTCGCATATTTCTTTGTCGATGAAGTCCTCAGTTGCCCCCGAGTCGAGCATTGCATATATTGTTGTTTCTTCGCTTTCTCTGTTGTATATCTTCGTTTTAATCATCAGACGATCTCCATCTTCTTCTCCTCTTTACGTGTGTAGTGCCGTGTAGTAGTTCGCTAATTTGATGGATTTTCCCGGTCCACATCTTGGGTCTCCCAAACTACCGTTAACTGGAGACCCTCTTCGTTTTCCGCCGGTGAATCCTCTGCTATCATCTCGCGGATGTTGCTTCTTTTCTGATTTTGGAAACGATTATTTCCAGTAGCTCTGTTTCCCTGGTATCCGTTGTCCAGTTGGCTTCTGCATTCTCGTATCCAATACCCTGCTTTTCCACACCTTAGGCATAGTTTCCCATTCATCCTTCTGGCGTATTCTTCCTTAGACCGATTCAGAGCAGGCCCTGCTCTTGACTTGTCCAATTCCATCGGTTCGCCTGGTGGTAATGTTCGACTTTCTCCTCGCGGTGCTTGCGGTTTGAAGGTCCCGTCCACATTCCTGGATGATTGGGCCACCTTATGTGCTATAGTATTTTCCGAGTTGCTCCGAACCATGTTTAATTTGCTTTCTTTGTCGATTGCCCATCTTGCAAATCGTTCGGCTATCATATAGCGCAGGTCAGAGATTCCCCATGCCTCTTGGAGTCTCTCACTGCAGTTTCTCAGGAGGATGATGTAGAGAGTCACATCATCAAACTCGGCCTCGTATTCCAACAGTCGACATTTGTTCCAGTATGCTGAGAACGTTTGTTTTCCTTGCTGGAGTTTTTCTAGCTTTCGTCTTGCTGTTTCTTTGGCGTTGGGGTCTCCAAATTGTTCGAAGAGTGTCGCCTTGAACTCTACGTACGTGACCCATTCCCTCTGTTTCCGTCCATCTTGGAAGGGCATGATCCATTGTCCCGCGAGTCCTCTGAGTAGAGATTCCACATATGGAATCTTAATTTCATCATGGTGATCTCCGTATCCCTTAACTGCAAAATATCCCTCGCATTGCGCTAAGAATATTCACAGCTTATCTTCGGCTCCTTCCTATGTGTCGGGCTCCTTTGCTTTTGGTCGTTGGACATTTCCTTGCCCTGTATTTCGTGTGGCTGCAAGAAATGCCTGAAACTGATTTTCAGTCATTCCAAGTATGCTGGTTCCTGGTGCCGGAGCGGCTGGGGCCGGTGGCCTAGGTACTGCGGATCCCGACATTCTCTCGGGTTGAGGCGTTCCAGCAGGAGAGCTATCAACTGGTGATCCTTTCTCTGGGGTTACTGGGCTTGCTGCTCTCGAGGGTTCCGCTGAGACGTGATCTAGGACGTCGCTGAATCCTCCTATATTAAGATTTTGATCGTCGATGTCAATATCTCCTTCCCAGTCTGGGTTGAAGGATGCCGTCTTATATCGTTTGGCATCGCACTAGGTGACGCTTTGTAATGTAATGATCCCTCTTTGGATAGTTAGTGCTTGGCGACGGGGAACGATACTTCTCTTCCTGTTTTTCTTCTTCTCTTTGTCTTACGATAGCTCTAGGCTTCTGCCTACATTACCGATAGTACAAGACCCTTGTCTTCTACTGGCAAAGCCTATCGTAAGCTTTCTCTAACTCTTCTTCGTAAAGCTCCTTCCTTGGCGTAACGATAACATTGCAATAAAGGTAAAGATCATAAGGGTGTTTTATATTTGTTAAAGTAATAAGTAGGAAAAGTACTTAGAACAAAGCGTGAAGAACCTATCTTCCTCGGCCGTATCGGCCTCCTTATATAGTGTTCTTCCCGCCTTTAGTCATGTGACCTAAAGTGGTCACATGTGCGAAACTAAATCATAACAAACTAATCATATGACCAAAGTGATCACATGCTCAAAACCCATGACCTCATAGCGAGGTCATGTGCAAAACTCATAAACCAATCATAACACAATAAACAAAGTCATATGTCACGAAACCCATGACATCATAATGAGGTCATGTGTGAAACATAAATCATATGCGCAAGGCTTGCCCGTAAGGCACACTCGTAAGGCATACTCATCAGGCGCATGTCCCATGACTCATACTTGAGCCTTGTGCGAAAGCATCACAAATCCCACACATAACTAATCATATAACCCGAATGGGTCATATGCGTGAAACAATAACATACCTGTGACTCATACCCATGTGTCACGTGAAAAACCCTTTCCTCGCTAAGCCACGTTCGTGACAGGTATATGGAGTTCAATGGATGTAATAGATAGATAGGACTCAGCAATATTGTAGGAGTAATGTTGTAGGTTTGGAAAATACTGGTCAGACCAGTATTTCAGAAACCTTCATTTTGACCTTATTATTACATCTTCATTATTGAGATTTGGTGTCAACCAGACATGCTACTCCAAAACAAAATAGAAGTTTGTCGCAAACCTCCAAAATCAGGGACATAATCAAGGTTTGGTGTGGCAACCTGACGCGCCCTTAATGTGGTCCTCGCGTGGGCACAATTCACGAAACGGTCAATAATAGCAATCATGCAAGGATGCACTCTCTTAAGTTAGTCCCTAACCTGATAGATCCACTCTGCATATATCATACCTGTATGCCACTGGTCCTAGCTACCGCACCGCACAGTTTCTTTAACTGACTTACGGTACCGGTAGTCTACTCGGAAATTTTTGCCCTTCAACGGTATGTAACTCAGAACTTGCTATTTGTCAGTCTCTTCCAATCACTTCCATGGCGCACATAAGCATGAACCTTATCAGCGCATATTTGAGCCGCATGAAATCACCCTTCTTAGCACTTTGTTTTTTTTAGCTTTCTGGAAGCAGTCATATGGGTATTATTCGTAATTCGTTTCTTCCTCCCCAACCCACCAGTTAAAGTAGTCGCACCAACAACTAGATTGCACCGAAGGCGAGATTCCTTGCCAACAAACCGATAATCAAGGTGAGGAAGTTTCCCTTAAAGGAAAGAATCTCGCTGCGAGTGCAATCTCGTTGCGGGTGCAATCACTTTAGTTCCCTTCCTGCAAACCTCCGTCCAGGATTTCTTCCGCACCCTCCCATACTCGAGTAATGGCAGCAGAGATGTTTCCTTCTTACCCGCCGGAATTGTCCCAAACCCAGTTATCCTATCTCCTTCAGGCCCTTACGGACTACTCGCTCTCTCACGGTCTGAATGTTAGACCTGCGGAATCGTTTATTTCGGAGAAGTTGAGCCCGAACGGAGCACTCGCTACCCATGCCCCGGTTACTTTGTTTCCGAGCCCGTTTCCAAGAAGCTGCTGGGAGGAAGGGAGGGCGGTACAGAAGGATTATAATGAGCTGTATGCTAGGGTTGCCGGGAACGAAGAGTGGCTAGAGAAGATAATGGTTGAGTGAGTGGCAAAGCAGAGTTTTATGAAGCCACGGATCCAATACTAATTTCTATAGACTTTCAGAGGTCGATGACTTCACGGCGAGACTTTACAAAGTCCACTTGGACGTCAAGACTGAAGGTTTTGTACAACCGCTTTCACTAGGCCTTTTCCGCTCAGACTACATGATTCATATTGCTCCGGAGCACCCCAACGCTCTTCCTGTAATTCACCAAGTTGAATTTAATACTATTGCTTCGTCGTTCGGGTCATTGTCTACTAAAGTCTCCGAGCTACACAAACATCTTGCAGAAACGGGAGCTTATCCTTCCGATAGCATCATCAAACCCGAAAACATTCCTGTGAGCCCTGCTCTACAAGAGTTAGCAAAGGGACTGGTAATCGCCCACAGAGCTTACGGGAGCGGTGGGGATGGAAGGTCTACAGCTGTCTTTATGATCATCCAGCCGGGAGAGAAGAACGTTTTCGATCAGAGGTGGCTGGAATACGAGCTTTTCGAGAAACATGGTGTCCAGACATACCGCATTTCGCTTCCGGATGTCCCCAAGCTCACAGAGTTGGTTTCCGGTACTCGGGCCCTGATTTATTCCCCGCCGCACGCTCCCAACACGCAGGTTGAGATCTCTACGGTGTACTTCCGCGCAGGATATGGACCAGGAGATTATGCTGGGGAGGGCGACTGGGCTGCAAGGACTACCCTTGAGCGTTCGAAGGCCATAAAATGCCCATCCGTGATCACCCAACTTGCCGGCGCTAAGAAGATCCAACAAGTCCTGGCCACAGGCGGAGCTGTTGAGGGATTTCTCCCTGATCAAAGTGTTTCTTCTCGGGTCCGAGGCACGTTTGCCGCTATTCATCCTCTGGATCAATCGCCTGCCGGTATGGCGGCTCGTAAAATTGCGCTTGAGAAACCGGATACATATGTTCTCAAGCCGCAACGGGAAGGAGGTGGGAATAATATATACAGAGGAGATATTCCTAGCTTTCTCAAGTCTATTCCGGAGTCCCATTGGAGTGGGTATATCCTCATGGAACTGATTGAGCCGCCACCGCTCGAGAATACTATCATAAGGAATGGTGAGCTGATGAGTGGGGGTGTGATTGGAGAATTGGGTGTCTACGGCGCTATCTTGTGGAGAGACGGAGAAGGGGAAGAGAGAGGGAAGGGTCTCAAAGAAATCGTGATGAACGAGGAGGCAGGCTGGCTGTTGAGAACTAAGGGAAGGCAGAGCGACGAGGGAGGTGTTGCAGCGGGTTTTGGTAGTGTAGATGCGGTTCTCATGGTTGATTGACGCTTTCTTCAATATTTTGATATCATACCTATTTCCTTCTTTCGATTGGGCACTTTCAGGGTTTAGAATGGGGTATCATACTTGCAGAGGATAGAACTATGGCTACGTTCAATATACCCATATTTTTTTCCACTTAATGTAACAACCCGTCCCGCCGGCAGTTCACATTGAAGACTAAGCTCATACAGAAATTCCATGCTTTATGTATCCACGTGCTTGGTGGGCCGGGGATTCGGGTGTTGCCGTAATCCGGTCAGGAAGGCTCCCGCCCGTGCCCCAAGCCCTTGGAAGAGGAGGAATTGGCTTGTCGGTTGTGAGATGTGTATGAGTGCGACTTGTAACTCGTTGTGGGTTTCCCTGCTGGTTTTGGAATTCGTTATGGGTGCTATTCCAAAATCCTTATATCATATCATACCACTACAAAGGCATGGTAATATTATGATAATAATACTATAATATAAGCAATCTGGAGAGTCAAAAATTACCTACCCAATTAAAGCTAGGTCTTGTGAACCCATACGTGATACTAGCTCAGCATGTAAGGGTTCATCCCGGAGGTATTTCACAAGGTGGCTTTGGATGGCAGTACCGGTAGGTGTTTCGGGGACGGAGAACTTTACCAACTTTCCTGACCCAAACATGCCATTAGCTTCCCCTCTTTCTCTCACCTTCCCTCTACCATTCCTCAAATCCTTCCACAAAGTCGCCAATCGATTCAGTCCCCATCATATATCACCAGTTTTGCCTTTGCCCGCGCATTACATCTATTCTTAAGCATTTTTTCCTCCCACCAGTCCAATTCCATCGCCAAGCCACGAGCCTAGCCCAAACGCGGTTTCTCTCAGCCAGCCTGCCCAGTGAGTGGCCAGCTATAGAGATTGATCTAGAGGCAGAAAAGAGCGGCGATGGAGAAAGCGTTGGTGAGGGGGGTGGAGAAATGGATTGGTAAGTTCCATGATATGGTTGAAGGGCCGGGGAAGGCAGTGGTATTTGGTCTGGGTTTATTGTTCTTGATTGAGAGACTCGAGAATGAGGGTATCTTTAAGAAATCTAGAAAGCCATGTTTTGCGCTACGGTACACATAGGAAGCTCCGATCCCCCCATCAATAGCGCCTCCGGCGTTTAGACAGTGTAAAAGTCTCCCTTTCCTTCCATACCCCCTTCTCTTTCATATGCTTTTTTGCACGTTGAAGGGCTCTAGACCAGGTAGTTCTTTGGATAGGGAATAACTAAGGCCACGCCAATAGGCGAGTTCGGGGTGTACACTAAAGCCTGCCTCTCCTGCAAAAGTTCCTTCTGCTCCGCAATTGCCCTTTCTAGATCTGCCTTCTCACTCGATCCTATATTAAAAGAAAAATAATTAACAGATTTGGCCTCAATTATCAGCAATAGCTGAGACTCACCTTTTGTCAACGCGAGAGATAGGTCCCTCTCAAGATCTGCAAATAGCTGCACTCCTAGGTTATTGAACCCGATGCGGTGTTTGCCGAGAATGTCCATGGCCGCCGACCAACCCGCTCAAGATAAAGCCAGGTGTACCGGTAAAGAATTAAAGCCGATCTTCCGAGCTTTTGCATCTCCTGTTGGGATGTATGGAGGTGTTGCGGGGCGTGGCGGGCCAGCAGGGTATGCTGGTGCTGCTATGGACTTTTCACTGGAGTGTTGGGTTAGGGCCTGATGGAGCGCTTGGCCGCCAGGGCTTGGAGAGAATAAAGAGGGGCCAAGTGAGAATGCACTGTACGGTACTGTTCACTGAACTTTCTTCCCCTTTGCCACAGCAACAACGGCGTTCTCCTCACCCACTCGTTTCCCTCCCTCCTCGTCCTCTTACTACACCACAACTAACACCAGCTCTTCATCGTAATCACCCTCGCCATACTGCAACCAGCGACCCGACACCTAAATCCCATCAACTACCTCTCCCGACCACGGACCGTTGCGTTCCCACCGATCCACCGTCTCCCCAGATCACATCGGACATCCTCGCTTGCCGCCGTACGCTTCTCCGATTCCTCTGAGGTTTTATTGGATGAAAGCCGTGCGGCGGAAGACCAGAACCCCTTTTATCACCCACGCCACGAGGACAACTTTCGACAGCTACTCCCCTTAGACGGCCCTCGCGTATTTAAGGGAGGAAAGGGTCGTAAATACGCCATGTCCCGGAATACACCATTTTCTGATGACGGGGGAGGAATCACAGATACAGACGCAGACACCAGTCGGAGTGTGACGCCAAATATTAAGTTGCCGTTGCAAAAGATGGAACCCGCGGTAGTAAGGCAGGGGGGGGGAGGGGGGGTAGGAACATTTCTAGGAGAGGGACTTCACAGGGGGGCTACGAGCAATACTAATAGTTCGTGGCTGGGTGATCCTGACCGGGACTCGAGGGATAGCATAGAGTTGGAAGTAGAGAGGGGGGTAAAACTAGAGGACATGAGGAGCCACAGAGCAAGGCATCAAGCGCTACAGCAGGGCCAGCAACCAGAAGGCGGTATGCCCAGAAGCGTGCCAAACAGACATAGCGGGCTACCTGCCATCGGCGACGAAGAATCGCGGCCGCAAACACCAACCTCGGCTACCAGCGAATGGAACCCCAGCCATCCATGCTTCCCACACCGCAATCCATATGTCCCCACAAACTCACCGCTCTACGAATCCACCCGCGTAATCAGGATCCAACGTGATTTCATGATAAACGGTGACCTTTCGCCCGCTTACTCTAACACCTTCCCAGAGATACTAGAACCGTATGTTAGCGAGGAGCGCTTCCGGATGGTCATCGCATACGTGAACAAGGAGCTTGCTAAAGCGTTTGATCCGTGGAATTTGTGGAATTGGCTGGATGTTATGTTTGGCCTGCTCACGTTATGGGTGTTGGAGGATATTATCGATACCTACATCAAACGGAGATTGCGGGCCGTCGAGGCGTTCTTACAGCAACAGAATGAGGAGTTGGAACAGGCTAGGTCGCAGGCAGTTTTTGTACCGCTGAGACGAACGGGGTATATGAATGTGAGATTCTTCTTAGTGCCAGTTGCTGGTGTCATGTTAACGGCGGTTCTTACAGTTGGATATACAAATCCCAGACCCGATGCCCCCACCAGATGAAGGTGATCAATTACCATCAGACCCCGATCATAAATTCAATATTGCACCATCTGATGCTAGTAGCGCAGTTCCCACAATTGAAATAAACGAACCTATAGGCTCACCACCACGGGCAGGCGCTCATCTACAATACACCACCACAGATCACTACTCGAGTAGATAAAACATGCCATCCTTTTCCCCTTTTTGGTACTGTTTTTCTTCTCCTTTTTCTTTCCCCCCCCCCCCGCGTTTTACTCTTTTTTTTGTTTGTTTGTTTGAATTCATCCTTTCACGGCCAGGTGTTCAAGATGGACTTACGTTTTTTTTTTATCCAACCTACCAAAGAAACCTTTAATGGGTTACGCTTAATTTCTACTCTTATTACCGCTGCTACTCTGCGAACTTTTTTTTTCTACTTTGTATCATTACTTCACACTTAGCTTTTCTTTCCATCCACTTTTTTTCTTCACTTCACTTAACTTCTCTTTTACTCTTCTTTACGTTTGCACCTTGCTTTTACTTTAGGTTGGTTAAAACCGAACCGGTAGAATATTTCTTCAGGGATATATGTCTCCAGCTTTTTCTGTCTACTGGCGCGCAAACCAAGTTCTGGTGCAACAGGCGTTGGATTTTGCTGTCATTTTCGTTAATGTGCACCATAACTTAATTTGCGCCCAAGTACTTCTGTTATGGTAATATTACTACTGCACTCTTTCTTCTGTTATTCCGCCTGACGGATGAATGAATGGGTAGGTGGAAATATTAATGACCTGGAGGGTTATTTATATTTAACTGGCTGGCTTGTTGGTTAGTTGGATGCATCATTTCTTCATAGCCTGGTCTGGTCTAGTCCAAAACACACAAGCATACAAAGAAACAAACAAACCTGTACTGTACATGCACGGTATACCACCACTTGTATATATCAAGGCCCAAGGGCTAGACATGCAAAACGAAGGGGTATCGCATCCCCCTCTGCCCCCCCATCTCACGGAAAATCACTCGACTCCCCCTCACAATCTAAATCCCTAACCCCAGCCAGCAACCCCACAACAACCCTCCTAGCATCCCTAAAATCAAACTCCTTAGCAACAGCCCTCGCGCCCTCCCCCACTTGTACCCCTCCCCCTTCCTCCTGCCGCTGCCGCCACCCCCCTTCTCCAACCCCAACCCCAACTACCCAAGGCACAACCATCACAGCCCCAACTCCAGTCCTCCCAACAACCCCCCCCTCCCCCTCCAATGAATCAGGCACATACACCCACGGAACCCCCAACCGATTACATTCCCGTATGACAGGAACATGCGCGACAACGGACGCACAAGACAGTGCCAAAACCACCGGTCCAACATCCCCATTCCGCCCGCCCGCGGGCGGGAGCGTTGATAGTAGCGATTGTATGGTGGTGCCGCCACGGAGGAGATGTTTTGAAGCTGATGCTGGCAAAAAGGTTAGCTGGCGGAGTTATGGAGGGGAATGGGTAGGTTGGGGGAGGGATTACCGTGCTTCACCAACTCCAGAACTTTCCTAGAAACGCCTTGTGGCGCTAGGGTTATTCTGAAGCGGAGGAGTTGGGTGCTGCCCTGCCGTGGCCGCGGCCGCGGTCGGTGGTGGATGGGGGTGGATGGGACTGCGACGCGGGATATTGTCGGAGGGGAGGGCGCCGAAACTTCTGGCGGTCCCTGACGGGAGGGAGGACGGTGGAGGTGGAGGTGGGAGGAGGGTGGTAGGAATTTTCGAGGCGATAGTCGGCGCATGTGGGTTTCTCGTGTGTGGTTGGTTGTGGGGATGGAAGTTTGGATTTAGCGGAAGGATGTTTTTTGTTTTGTTTTTTTTGTAGAGGGAAGATGGGATATTCGGAGCGGAAAAACCTTTTTGCGGGGATGGGTCGGTTGATGGCCATGATAAATTACCACTCCGCCCTCGTTCAGCGTAGGCAATATCGTAAAGAAAGGGGGATACAACAATCCCTTCCAACAGAAGCAGAAAGGAAAGGCAACAATATTTGAAGGTATCGTAGCAGTATCACAGTAGGAGGCGGAAGAAGCCCCCAAAATAACAATGAAAAAGGGGCCGGGCATTTCTCAACCATTCCTCTGATACTTGACCATTCATAAAGTATTCGGATGCCTTGGCGCCAAGGCATACCAACCGGCGCCTAAACATGGAAAAATGGCGCCAAGGCATCCGAATACTTTATGAAAGGTTGAGTATACACCGCCAAACATGGCAAAAAAAAACTCGCCGTTAACCTCCTCCCCAACCACACACACAGCATTTCCACCATTCCCCGAAGAAATGGGAAGGGATGATTACCGGTAGCTTACCGTATTGCCTGCTCGCGCTGAAAACTCCTCACTTTCCAGCCGTACGAGTAGATATTTCTCGTGATACGATACTTTTATTTTTTTTGCTTACTAATACATCAAAGATCCCGATCACCCCCGGGGCCTGGTTCTCATGTTTTCCTTGGAAGGGTTACGACTGTGTGGTACGGCACACGGTTGGTTCAGGAGCATCCATTCCCTTGCCCATTGGAGAATTTTTCCCAGAAAAATTATGAAATAAAAAAAACCCCTCCCCCGGTAGATCACCCAGGTGTTTTTTTGTTTTTTTTTTACATTCCTTTTCGGTTTCATCCCAACATGCGGTTTGACTACTTCCTATCAAAATTTAATGTGAATTTTGGTTCCCCTCCCCAGCCACCACATGCCAGGAACGGGTGGAGGGGGGGAAACCGGGTGCGCATCACCAAGGATCACTCCTACTGTTACAGAAGTTTTTGTCAAGGTTCTTCACATTAGACTATGACACTGTGCTTCACATATTATGGAGGGAATGCGCGGGTTGTGATCTATCGGTGAGAATCTGCCCACAGCAGGGATTATTATTGTGCATTGCAGTGAGGAAACGTCCCCGACCCTCCTACCTCCTCCTGCCCACTCGTATAAAAATCCCAAGACACGCCTTCCCCCCTTAAATTGCCCACAGCCGGCCCACCGCCCCCGGTAAACTCGCCCGATATTCCCCCAGTTCTCGAAAATCTAATCGCCAGCCTTCGCTTTCCCCTCCCTTCTCTCCCCTCCTAACCCCCCTAAGAACTCAACACCCCTTATATTATAATTTTCAGATTTAGGCGCAGTAGTAGCTAAACTCCACACATGCACTGATACAAGGAGGTAGTAGATACATACACTTTTTTCAGAAACACAGAAGCCCGATGATTTTTTTTTGCCAAACTCCCACAATAAAAGAAGCAAAAGAGCAAGCAAATGAGAATGGAAAGGGGGTAGGGTGAACATGAAATGCAGCCAAAGATATTGTAAACACAGAATCGTAAAGTACTAAAAATACATAAGAAGTGAAAGGGAGGAAAAACTGAAATACTAGAAACGAAGAAACCCGATAAGTGCGGAGGAGGATGTTATTGGTGTTGTGGTTGAAATTATTTGAATGAAGTAGAAGCCCATGAAGTGAAGAAAAACTTGAAGCCCGTAAAATATGTGAAGGAAAAAAAAAAAAAAGGAAAAGAAAAGAAAAGAACCCAACAAGCAATCCAGAATACAGTGAAATAAAAAATAAGCAAGAGGAGGCGTAAAGAAACATGGGAAGTATCACAGAAAGTGCCCGTAAATTCACAAAAGCTCCTCTTGCTTCTCCATCATAAAAGTAGGCACCTCTCTCATTGCTCCAAAATTCGCTTCAACTACTAGAAAATGTGACCTGTGAGAGAAAGGAACGATTAGTAGAGAATTTCTCAACAGACATAGACGCCGCCTCCTCCAGCCATTACCTCTGTGACGCCTGTTGGGGGGGGAGGAGGAGTCACATCCTTTGGAGGACTAGGCCTCGGTCTCTTGGGGTCTCCTCCTTCGTTCTCGGCCACCACGTCAGGGTTTCCACTAGCCTCTCCTATCTCGTCCCGACGTCTCTTCCCGGGGGTGGCGAGAGGTGTGGTTCCAGCCATTGGTGTGCCGATGCTTGTCTCGACACCATCGGCCATGGGACTTATCGCAGCAGGAGGTATGAAAGAAGATTCTGAAGCAACTTCTTTATTCTTCTCGGAACTAGAGGAAGACTCCGGTCTATGGCTACTGGAAGAAGCTTTCTGTTTTTCCCGCTTGCGATTATCCATAGATTGCTTGTTTCTGATGACCTTCTCGATGTAGGGTTTGACAAATCCCTTGACTTTTAGGCGCTTGCTATCAGACTCAAGGAGGAGATGGGGGTTGGCAATCTGGCGTCCATCTTTCATTTCTTTTTTAACGAGGAGCTCGGTGATCTGATGATTTGTTGTCAGTATAGCATTCTATTGCATTTGCTCTTAATGGAAGTAGACTCACATCCTTTGCGTGTTTCTTTACAAGATCTCTGCCGCCTATTTCTGATTCATATTTGTTCACGGCATTCGCCACAACTGTAGAGAACTATCCAAGCTAATTAGTATGAATTGTTAGAGACCATACCATTACAAAAACTTACAGCTCTTATAAGAATCTTTTTGGTTTTCTCATTATCATAGATTTTCGGTGGCTTAATTTTCTCTGCTTCTCTTTGAGCCTTCTCCTTCTCCTTGAGCATTTCCTTTGCTCGCTTTGAATCGGCTTCCTTTTCGGCTTGACGTACCCTCTCTTCCTCTTTAAGGCGCTCCTGTTCTTGCTTATTCATCTTTTCAGTGGAACGGGAGCGGGTGATGCCGTCAATAATTGCCTGTAAGGCTATTCGTTTCTGATCCTGCGGAATGTAGGGATACTCTGCCGGACGTGAGGAATACTCTGCCGGACGTGAGGGATACTCTCCAGGGCGTGGGGGAGGTGGCGGCGGATGTGGAAGCCTCGCATCAGAGTTACATGGCTCTTGTGGAATATCCCAGCGGGCTCTCCCATCGTTGGAATAATAGTAGAGTTTTCCGTCACCGGTATGCGTCTTGTGCCAGCCCCACGGTATATCCCTGCGTGGTTTGTCGTTGTGTCGCTGAAACTGCTCTGCGCGGGGTCCACGAGGGGGTTGGTTCTGAAAGCCAGATTTCGTAAACGGCCTCGGTCGACTTGGACCATTTGGTGTTAACGGTTTCTCCAATTGCGGCGAATTTGACTTCGATTTGGAACTTGACTCCCTCTCATAGGCCTGGTACATTGACCTAGTCCGCTCCATGTCCGCCTTACTTCTCCTCGGGATACGGAACCCGGTCTCCAAACTGCTCCACACTTCCAGGAGGGCCTTTGATGCCTCCTGAACACGTTGATCATCTGCGGTGCTGAGTTGTTGTACCGTCGGCTCAATCTTAGAACTTGTAATCTTATTCTTGGTGATGCGAGGAAACTTCATTAAAATGTCGAGAGCCATTAATACGATGTTCTCATCCGATTGGTAGTCGTGAAGGATTTTGCCCATAATCTGATAGCCATGCATCTTCACCACGCGCGCTGGAACGGCTTCATCCTCACTAAGTTGGATTCGGTGGAGAAGTTTGCTGACTATCCACTTCTCTTTACAATGCAATAGAGAAGACATGACCTTCGTAACATCCGCTTCGCCAAGTGGTTTTGACTGTACACTTTCGACATAGTCTTCGTCGTCCCCATCAGTCTTCTTCAGACGTCGGCCCTTCTTTGCTGTTGCGGTCGACCATTCCTCACTGTCTTCCAGCCCTAAGGCCTCGATGATGTGGTGTGAAAGCTTAGGTGCAGCCCCATCTGTCTGGGTTTTACCTCCAATATAGCCAAGACAATTAAACTCCCCACAATAACAAGTCTGCGGCTCCGCACCATATCTGTCGACATTGTAATCAAACACCAACTCCTCGCCAGCCTTTACGTTTCGTTTGGCGAAGATGCCCATTCGCAGCTTCTCCCCGACAACCCACTTATCAATGAAACAGTTTGGATTGCACGAGTGATTGCAGAACCGAGCAAGCCCTCCCTTCTTGGTGGCGTCGATAAACTCGTTCTTTCCCAGGGACATGAAATAGAAGTGTTTAATTCCTTCCGAATCATACTTTTCCATCCTCCTGCGAAACTTGTTTTCGTCAATAACCTCGCCTACGTATTCATACAAAAAGGTGTTGATCGAAATGTCGGAATTCGCTCGGAGGCCAAAACCTTTTTTCTCTGTCTTAATAACAGAGACGTCGGCATATTGGCGCTGCTGAAATCGCTGGTTCTGACAATCCTGACCGCAAGCGCGGTCGTCCTGAGTGCATTCCATAGATGTCATCCGATTTATGCAGTCGGAATTGTCACCACACGCAGGATTGCATTCGCCATCTGCGTTGCGACGGTCGAATGTAAGCGAAATGGAAACTCGCGCGGAAAACTTGGAATTGGGAGGTCACGACAATGTAGGGATAAGAAGAGGGGGGGAACGAAACGACGATGATTACTTACCCCAATCTGTTCTACACTCGCAAGACATGACTTCACCATCCTGCCCGGAGTCTCCAATTGATTTGGTGCTGTAGATACATTCATCGATGACAGAAAATGTCGAAATCGCTTCTTGAGTACTGTCAGGATAATCGGTGAAAAGGGTTGGCGGTTTCCTGGCCGATTTCTGAGGCGCTGCACGCTGAGATTTTCGAGGCGGTGTTCCATTTCCCTGCTTAACGCTCACTTCACTGCCCTGGGACGATGGCGTGTTTCCTCGAGACGATGCTTTCGACGAGCCTCTACTAGCCCTCATCTTGAGTTCATCAGGGACGGTCACCCTCGAGTGCCTTCCCACTCCTGCCGAACCGCATCTGGGCGAGTCACTAAGGTGTATATTCCTAACTCCTTCACTTCCTGGACTTGGTGAACCGTTTATAGTCCCCGCTAGCATTTTTTTGTGTCCTCGAGATGTGGTGGTGGTTGTTGGAGTTGGAGTGGTTGTCTTTGTGTTGTGGGGGGAGACGGTGGTTGAATGGTGTTCTGTCGGCTCGTCCGCCCCAGGTGTCACTCCTCCAAGCTCGAGGAGCACGCCGACCACGAAATGCCCTCAAGAAAAGAAAAGAAAAACCTCAAGCCCTTTGAAGAAAAACAACCAGCCAAACCAAACAGTTCAAAGATCGCAATATGCGAAGTAAATTGGCTGTGCCTGTTCCTCTCAAAGGACGGTTTCTCTTTTTATTTTCGAAACGATCCGCGATAATTTTTTGGCCTCCGAGCCGGCTCTGAATCTCGTGAGCAATCGAAAGGAGAGGGCGACTCTGCGAATTCGACGATAGAAAGGTCAGCTGGCAACGGAGGGAGAGACTAACAACAGGTCAAGCCCCGTTGTTTCTGTGATCGTTTTAGGATGGGCGAAATGTGGAGGAGAGCTCGCTGTAGAAAGGTGAGAAAAGGGAAGTTCAACGAGACTTCGGCACAAACTCCCCCCCTGTCGCGCGGTCGTTTCTTTTTCCTCTTTTTTTTTTTGTGCCCTTTTCTTCTCCACCTTCACTTTTTCTTTTTTCTTTTCTTCTTTTCTTCTCCCTTTTAGCTACAAACTTGACGAGTTTTTTCTATAAAAAAAACCCCCCCTTGAATATTGCGTTATCAAAAGTAAATGTTTGTGTCCCTCTTTTCCCGAAATCTTCTGTCTTTGCACAACCAATCTGTTGTATTGATCGTGCATGCCCTTCTCTGATCCGCCAATTCTCGCTGCGGTCAATTGAGGCTCTGAAACCTAAGTTCGCTTCGACGGAATTTGCCAAGTCTTGGCATCAACCAGCACCCCCGCATGGAAGAACGAGAGAAAGTGCTTCCTAACCAGATCCACTCTTAAGAATTTTAAGGTCGCAATAGTATGCTTACCATAGGAGGCATGTTTCCACAGAACAGTGCGAATCTCGTTGCGCCCACAGCGGTTGTCTAGACAGCTTATCGCCTTCGCCACCTTCCCTACTTTCGAGCCTGCGGGAGGGGGACTCCCTGATCATTCAAGATCACTCGTAGCTACACTTCTACAGTCAAGGCGCGCGGAGCAAGGAGTCAGACAATAGGCTGGCCAGGATACCGGTAATTTTCGTAGGCTACCTCCAGGCGCTGTGTTTTCAATGGTTGAATTCATGTCGTTGGAGATCCGCTATTTCCCCGAGTTATTGCAATGCTTGCCCGGCTCCGGTGTGGGCAACTGAGTGTCTGTGCACAGTTTGAATATATACACTTGGAATGTTATAAACATCTGTCTCATATAATTAGACCTCTGAGCAGTGGACTGCTCTCTAAAGCGGTGGTTTGAGTCTGGATACATTAACTCCCTGTTTGTTGTAGTACCTCCAGAACAGATGGATTATGTACTGTGCTACTACACTCTACAAAGTCCATAGCGGTCATGCGGCATTTGCTTCAGAGTCTATATCACACTAGCTGATGTAACTTGTCAATATTGCCCTCAACTAGCTAAATAAAATAAAATATATATATTATTATAAAGTAAGTGAGACTTATAGCTTGCAAATAGAACTTAGATTAGCCTTGTAATACGACATAGTACAAAATCCCTTAATAGTAATAATAAGAATTAAGTAATTCTATTTCTACCTATACACCTTCCATTACAAGATCAGGTTGACAATATTATTTTTAGAGAAAATAGAGTTGTAATAATAATATACTAACTTAATTTAATTAACAGCCACTAGTAGTAGAGCTGGTATCATACCTGAGGTGAGAAGCATGACAAATTAATACCTTAGTAGACAGGGTCAGCACAGCCTGCCTAAGTCCACTGTCTCTACATTATAGTATCTGATAGTAAAGTAAAAAACTAAGTACTACTGAAAGAAAAATACTACTGGAAATCATCTCTCAATTACATATTATAATACCATATATGAAATACCATTTAGATCTGCTAATGACCAATAAACAAGAAAGTACTTACCAGTAAATATAAAGTAGTGATAAAGATATCACAGCAATTACCAACTTGAAATTGTACAATATTATCAGAAAAAGTTTTGAATCTATCTAAGAAAAAAAAAACCCCCCCCATTGAGCATTTATACTAGTAATTATAAGAGACCATAAAGCAAGAGAGCCTTACAACCGACTTTAAACAAGCACAGCTAGAAGTCCACCATAAAGAAATACCAACGGTACAAACCATTCCCGACTCCTATCCAGGGAGACCAAACTCTAATAAGTGCACTTACATCACCGCATACCGCCGGTAACTTCGCGCCATGGTTATGGCGATCACTAATGCGACAAAACAGGGATTTCGACCTCCGCATACTGAGTAATACCAAGGAGCAAAAATAATTTTTTTTAAAAAAAAAAAAAAATTCTATATAAAAATAGTATTGTGAGGAATAACCATCCTGCCGATTCACCTGTACAGTACGCGCACACGCACCGGATACCATAGTTGTACTGTACCCGTATCATACAATAGCAAACAATATTGGCTACCAGTACAGTACGAGTACTGTACAGTTACGCGCGATCTAACTCGTTCCCTTGCGATGATCACACCTTCGTACCCATCGATGTATCATAGCATTCATTCCCTTTATCAGATCATTACAGTACGGGTACGAGTAAAACGCAAGGAACAGAACCGCGCTTACGAGGATTTAACGGCGGGGATTAAAACAATGAGATGAAGGGAAGGTACCCTTTTTCCAGAGCCCCATAATCACTTTCCATCACTCGTCCACATCGTGCAGACGGCCATACAAAAGCCTCCGGAACGCCCGCCACACCATGGTATCATAATACCGGGGACCGTGACCCCTATCCGTTCATTGAAGCGGTCCACGGACGGTAATTTACATATCATATCATGCAGAGGGGAAAAAACGTATTCCCGAAAAGCGTTCATTACACTACAGTACAGTACCAGCTAACCTCCGCCCGTGCCTAATTATACATACTAGCATAACTGTACCCATCTATCCCCCCCCCCCCCTTCCCACCAACTTCTCAAATATACGCACAATAATACGGTACTCACATTCGCCACTAGGAACCCCCAAGATCATCAGGGATACTTTCTAATTCGGAGAGAACCCTAGCCCACAAACACGAAAAAGTAACCCCCCCCCAAAAAAAAAAAAATTTAAGCCAGGGATCACAAACACGAAACCGTCAATCGATTGGATCGATCCCATTGAGAGAGGAGCGGGGGTAGGGAAACGCAAAAAACAAAGAAAAAGCTTAAGTGGATTAAGCTTAAACCTACTGTTCGCCTTCGGTGCGGGAGGAAGTACGGTAGACTACAGTATCTTGGCCTTTCACGTGATATGCTATTTATTTTCCTTCGCCTTTGGAGCATGATTATGATACCCTTCCTGCTTTTGTCGGTTTTGGTCTCTTTTTTTCCCTCTTTCGTTCTCGTTTATTTGTTTTGGTTCTCGTATAAATATAACATTTCTAAGGTAGGTGTTATCAGAGGTTAAGTGGGGAAGGGGAGGGACTTGTTAAAGGATCTTCGACTTTTTTTTTCTTTTCTTTTTTTCTTTTCTTCTTTCCTTTTCTTCCGGAATTGAAAAAATAAAATAAAAATAAAAATAAAAATAATCATGTACATACATAATAATATTATTATTATCATAAGCTGTTTCGTTGTGGTGGTGGTTAATTTATATAAAGGAAATCGAAGGCTTGGTCGTCCCATTTGTGTTCCTTGTCCCCCCCCTTTCACTTGCGCACACATCATGTTCATTCGGTAATCTACAAATGTGCCAAATGGAACTGTGCAGTTTTTTTTTTTATCGATAAACATTCGTATCATACCCGCCACCGGTGATCGGCCGGGTAGTTATCGCCCACGTTATCCGTCACGGGCCTCCAGTTATCATAGGTAGCGAAAGGCATGTTCCCAGCACATAAGATCAACCACGGACGCAGGAGGAAGAGTGAGTGAGTGCCCTGTCTCGGGTACTGCATTTCCTGAGAATAATAACTGTGTTACGTGCCCACCTATCATCTTCCACATAATGCCTTCTTCCCCCCCCCCCACAGTGGACCCGTGCTCGTAAGGTACATACTGTAACCCCACCAGCACCCTCTGCAGTACCACCACCGCCAAATCAAACCAAACCAAACGCTCCACAGGAATAAAAATAAAAATAAAAGCAAAACAAACAATAATAAGTCACCTATTATATAACACCTCATCTTCCTTCCCCAACCCGCAAACCAACCAACCACCCCACCTATCATATTACAACACCCCACCCTAATCCGCCAACTCATGCACCAACACATTATTATGATATTATTATTATACCTGTTCGTACTTGTACGTGCTTCGCTTCCCCTTCCTTTTCCAGACAGCCCTCGCCAACCAACCGCCACCCATCACCACCATGTCCCGAAGATGTGGCCGCGAATAGCACCCTGGGCTTATCTTGTATCACCCGCGCCTCTCGCCTGGCCCCCGAGGATCCCCAGGTCTGCCAACTCACTTTTTTTACACTCATTCTGCCTGTGCCCATGCAACCATAAACTAGAAATTAGGGTAACGGCACCGGTGCCCCATTATGCATATGCCATCTCATCATTTATCACAATTCGAGTATCTATTAGTAACCTGGAGAGATTTATTGGCACGCTCTGGTGAAGATGTTGGTCATCCTTGGAAGGTTGGTAGAGGAAGGTAGGGTTGGATCCACAAGTTGATATAGGACAGTGCGCTAGTAGTGCTGGCCGTGAAGAGGGTCCTGGTTATCATAATGTTTTCCACACCGATGGATGGATGGATGTGCCGTAGGGGTTCTCCAAAGGAGAGGGACACCGAACATGATTTCAACTTGAACGGAAAAGAAAAGAAAAAACTCGGCAGGGTCGGGTCCCCCGATTTACTCAGCTCTCATCTGCATCGCGCCAGTGACGCATATCACCGAACATTCTCCCGCTGTAAATAGGTGAGTCTTTTTTTTTTCACAGAATATAGTCTTTGCATAATGCCTGTTCTATATTATCTTCGCGGAATGGAACTCTTTGACAGAGCGAGGATAGCATTGAGACATCGAATCGGGTGATCACTGGCATACGAAGGGTGGAAGTCTGTGGAGTCTTTCAGCTCTCGTGCATGACGGCGAGTAGATGGCCTTGTAGGGCTTGGAAGACTTTGTGTTCCCGTCCCGAGATTTTCGATATTCACAGCGCATGAAACACGCCATCATCGTCAATAGATTGCCGCATTATTCAGGTTTTCGAAGTCGGGGGGCAGCTGGCTAGCTGGGTTGAATGATACATACGGGCCTCTACAAGTGCGAGGCGGTGAATATCACAGAGAGGAATGTGCAGTCATGTGATCGCACTTGAATCCCAGATGCCGGTACAAGTAGACCACGGTAGCCAACATGCCACCGAACACATGGGGATATGATACTATACCTGGAAGCCCAAACAAACCACCCCCCACCCAGGCCCATCCAAAGAAACACGCCCCAACCAGTAACCCGGTTGTAGTGGACCACACCAGCTTAGCAAAATGAACACGATCCCACGACAGGTTCGCGCCGCACCGAGCCCCGCCAAATCCTAACGTAATCCTGGACGCCCCACACTCTCACCGATATCCACATGTGACGAGAAACCACTAATACTATGATACCCGCTTCAAGACCCCTAAACGAGATATCGTGATGAGCCCTTGGGCCCTTACACACACCACGCAGAAAAACAGCCATAATCGCAACAAGAGCGTAGGATCCCGAAAACAAGACCCCTTGCCCAGTAAGACACCCGCGGCTAGTTCCATTCCGTCATGAGATATCACTCGAGTATGGTTGCTAGGGCGCTATGAGTTGGAGAATGAGGACGAGAGGGATGCGGCTGGCGGAAAGATGTGGAATGGTGTGAAGAGTCGGTGGGGGTTTTTTTTATTAAATTTTTTTTTTCCCCATCATCCCGTACGCACCCGACATCCCCCATCTCACTGATAAGCATGTCGACGTGGCTAGGCATTCTCTCATGTGCGAAGTACGGCGGGTATCCAGGCTCGATCATACGCCCCCGTGGAACGTGGAGTCACCCTCAACATCCACCGCGGGGGGGAAAGATAAACATACCGGTAAAAATCGGTCCGCACGAGAAATTCTCCTCCCTCTATAGCCTTACGGTGGCGAGGTGGAGCGAGTGCGTACCCACTCCGGGACCATTTGTAAAGAAAAAAAAAGACCAAACACCCCTTCTGTAATCCCCCCCAGTGTCAGGAACGAACCGGACCCGGCCCGACCACGAGTGACGTCCCATAAATACTACCCATCACTAACATAGGCGAAGCCTACATACCAGTAGTGCACCGCAGACAACACCGAACAAGCAGCCACCACTGGTCCCCTCCCACACGCGCACCTCGCGAACTCCCGCTGTGCAAGGCGCAAGGCGGGCAGGCGGCAGGCAGGCAGGCAGAAAAAGACAGGAAAAGGAAAAGGGAGGAAGAAAAACATTTCGCGACGGGCCATCACACATACCCATACTGGATATGAATGCTGGGTTGATCCTTCCCGGCGCACCGGCAACCCAGCCCCCCTCCAGACAAACAAAACATGAATAAACCCTGAACAACCCCCCCGTCCATTCAATAAATGATAATAATAATAATAATAATATCATAGTAATAATGAAAAAGCCATCCTCCCCCCCCACACACTTTGTTTGCGCGTGTGTGGTGGTGGTTGACGTTTCCGGCAATCGGTAATTAAGCGACAGTACGTACTTGTACTCGAGTACTCGAGTACAGACCTCCCTGTCGATCGATGGGGTTATTTTTGTGTTTTTTTCGCTTTTTTTCGCTTTTTTTTTCTCGTCCGCTCGGTTGGTTTGTCGGTTCTGGAAGTTGGTGGGCAGATGGGTGGGTGGGGTTGATAGTGCTTGGTACCGAGGGTTCGGTTTTGAATTACCGAAGCGGGGGAGGGGGGGCGCAAGAGTAATCTATCTGATTTAATTTGTCACAGGTATGATAGATGGGGAATTGTGCCGTATTGATTGATTGATGGATTGATGGATTGGTTTTGGGGGGGTGAGGGTACGGTGGGAAATGATGGATAGAGGAATAGACGGATAGTTCAAATGAGTGGAGAGGATAGTACGGTTATAGGGGAAAATAAATAGATTGAATATATTTTATTCCCAGAAGAATCGGGAATAAACATTGACCCATCCATTCATTCACTCCCGAGTAACCGCCCCCTCCACCGCCGGTCTCCGAATAGAGAAAGAAAGAGGGAAAAAAAAGTGACATGTAACCAACCTCTCATCCCACCAATACTAGAAATCCCCAAGTACGGTAACTGTACCAAACTCCCGGGGCAAACATCCAACCATCGAATCCCAAGCGGTGCACCAAAACCACAAATGGGGGTGATCAAATCGTGATGATGATAGTGGGCGAGGAGAAGGTAGGAGGGAAGGAGGGAAGGAGGGAAGGAGGGAAGGATGGAAGAATGGAAGAATGGAAGAATGGAAGGCGAGATTGGATAGATGGTGCTGCTGATGGGGTGTGGCACAGGGCTGAGGTTGAGGATTAATGGGTGGAGTGAAAGCGGTATCGTGCTGGAAGGGAAAGTGAGCCTTCGGCGTGCCGTTGGGGCGTTATGTGCTGTGCCGTATCGAGAGTGTGCATACGCACTATAGATGTGAGTTGCGCGCTGGTCAAGTATCATACCCTTAGGAGAAAGTATCGCGTCGAATGAGGTCCTGTTAGGACATGCATTGTGTCGAGAACTACCCACTGCTAATCGCGCCCACTGGCAAAAACCCACAGGCTGGGAGGAGGTTGGCGTTGGGAGGGGGAGGACGGAGGTTGGGAGGCTGGAAATGATCAATGATACGATTGCTTGAAAAACACCAAGATACAAAAATACGTATTCTGTGATATCACCGATCCAGCTACCCGCCTCCCAGTATCAAGCCGATGCCGATGGAACCACCTCCACTTCCCAGCGCAAGAGTTCCGGAAATAATAACAATGGACTATCAGAGATATCGTTCGAACGGGTAGAGTACTAAGCTAACTTAACCACCATAAAGTACAGAGATATCTAAAATACTCGCAGAAAGCATCATACCATACCTACCTACCCACCTACCGTACTCTACCAAGGGCAATAGAAACCACACGCGTGCGCACGCGTGCGTGCAGGCCCCAATAGCAAAAAGGAACAGAGCGCGAATCTTTCATATAAACATCGGGAGCAACGCAAACACACGCAAACACAAGCAGAGTATAAAAAGCCACCCACTGCCCCCCCCCCGGCCAATTATTCCCCCAGCGAATCAAATAAAAAGTGAAGTGAAGCGGGGTGAAGTGAATTAATATCTCATGAGACCGAAGTGAGGAGAGATGGATAAGGATGTAAAGGAGACGAGAGGGAAAGGGACACCAAGGTAGGCAAGCTAGGCCCTGAGCCCCCATTCTCGCCCAAAAGTTCAATCTAGTCTTCGTTCGTTCCAATCATAGAAGGAAAGACGGAAGGAAGGCTCCGAAGCTAAAGGTGAAGTTTTAGGAAATAAAATAGAAGCAGAGTAGCCAACCCTACCTTATCACCTTTCCTCTCCAGCGGGGACGGGCAAACAGACAGGCAGATGGACAGAGAAATTGCTAGTAACTAATCAACTAAACTTAAACTTGTGCGACAAAAAACACATTGTCAAGAAGAGAATAAAATAAGTCAATAAAACCTATCCTGGAATACTTGAAAGAAAAACGATAATAGTAATGACAAAAGGCCAACCCAATCCTTCTTCCCTTCCTTCGGCACATGAATACGTTTGAGAGGAAACAAATGTCTTCCCGCTCATTGGAGGAAAGGATAAAAGCATAACAAGCATCAAATCACGAATCCCCCCCGTAGAATACATAATTAAAAACGAGACATAAGCAAACAAAGCAAAAACGAATATTAGGAAAGAAAAAAAAACTCCCTTAACCATAATTGCGCGATTGTAAACGTTTCCCCAGTATGCCCTGTTCCACAAACGTCCATTCAAACTTAACCATGAGCGGAGCGAAGGCTGCTGAAGAGGGGAAAAACGAGTCGACCCGCATCTCTTTTGTTGCCATTTCAAACATTTCTTTTCGTACAGTTCATCCGATGTTTCACCCCACCTTCCACCCCCCCATCCTCATATTCCATCAATCTCGAATAACAGCGCGTAAGGAGATCCGGCAAGGAATGATAGGAACCTCATCTCCCCTGGTCTTTCTTTTTTTTTTTTTTGTTGGTTCGATTTCTTTTTCCTTTTCTCACCCGTTTTTCTCCGGAGAGATCATTCATCCTCCTCCACATCGTCGTCGTCATCGTCGTCGGCCAATTCGCTCTGCTCGCTCTGTCCCAATTGCTGCCTCACCTTGTCATCATCCTCATCATCATCTCCGCCGCCCTGCTTCTTCTTTAAGTCCCTTTCCCGCGCCTTCTTAGCTTCAGTTTCGGCTTTCGTGGGCCTTCCCCTCCTCCTCCTAATCTGACCGTCCGGCCCGACGATCACGTTGCTTGTAGTCTTGGGAATGTAAGGTTTCGGCTTGGGCAGTATTTCCCCCCTTGCCTCTGCTGCCTTCCTAGCTTCTGTCTCGGCCTTAGTAGGACGGCCGCGCTTTCGTTTGGTTATGGGCACGGGCATCATCGTGGTGGAGCTGCTTTGTCCCGCGGTTGGGGTACTCGCTTGCTCGTACCCCGGTTCCTCCCTCGCACGCTTCTTGTTACCTTGCGGAGGGGGTGGGGTGCTATGCGATTTCATTGTCGTGAAGATTGCCTGTGCTTGGGATTTTGTCCGCCCTGTTTTTTGGGAGAGCAAACTTGATCAGCTTTTTTGAATTCCCTCATTCCATCGCCTCCTCTTCGTTCTCCTCCACCGCCCCTCCGCCGATCCTGGCTAACCAGTCTCAGCAAACAAAATGGACGGGGATGAAGGAGATGATGAAGACGAAGATAAAGAGATGGATGAAAGCGAGAAGGAGGAAGCACCTGTAGGGACTTCGATAATGCGCCAGTTAGGACTCGTATTCTGTTTCGCGATTTCTAACAAAAGATGTAGCTATCAATTATCATCACTCTCGTTAGCCCAACCGCCAAACATAGCCACATGCATCAAAGCAAACAACCCAAAAGGACAAAGTGGAGGGAGAGTAGTAAAGAAAGAGAAGGAAAAAAGAAAAGAAGACCTTACCTTCTCTGCGTCACTCCAAGGAGACCCTGCCTTGTCGCGAGCCATGCAAACGTCTATAACCGCTTCTCCCGCCGAATGGCCAAGTAGGGTCGGTCGAAATAGCGCAAAGGTGAATAATACACTCGGGAAGAGAATCGAAGAGAGAGGAAGAGAGAAAGAAAGGGAAAAAAAGGGAAGGGACGAAGAAGGAGGTGGGGAGGGAGGCAATTGATATGTAGATGTATTTGTTTCCTTTATGCACACTTGTTCAGAGAGGTGAAAGGGGAAAAAAATAGAAAAAGAAGGAAGAAAGGAAAGAGGAAGAAGAAAAAAATAAATAAAAGGATTAAATGGATGGAGGGAAGCGTTTACGGTTGAAAATATGCTGTGGGAATGGGGAAGAATGAAGAGAGGAAAAAAAAAAAAAAAAAAGTAACACTCACTTCCTTCCTCCTTCCTTCAAGTTTAATATTATTATGAAGGAAAAATTTTTGGAAGAAAAAAAAAAAAAAAGGTATGATGGAAATTGGTGGGGTTTTTTTTTTTTCCTTCCCACTACCTTTCCTTCCCTTTCCCCAAAAGAAAAGAAATGATGTAAAAGAAAAGAAATGAGAAAAAAGAAAAAGAAAAAAATGTGTGGGTGTGCTGAATGCGAAGTAAGTTTAAAAAAGCGGATAGTAAAGCAGGCAGCGCAGTACAATATCGTATCGTAGTAGCGAGCGCAGTAAGTAGTCCAACGTATGAGGGAAGAGGGGGGGGGTGGTCTTCTACTTTGTCGTAGTCCTTAGGAGGACGATGAGGTGGGGGGGGGTTAGGTGAAGTATGTGCTTAAATTGCATGTATCATACTATAGGGAGCACAGTCCATCCATTGGAGGAGGAAATAGGATGGTGAGGACCGGTACAATTACAGTAAGAAAGAAAAAAAAAAAAAAAAAAAAAACTACTCGTGCTGGAAGATCAAGAGACAAGAAGGACCAAATATTTAGTCAGTTGGTAATGGGAAAATAAATAATAATAATAATAGTAATAATAGAGAGACAAATGATGAGGGATGTTGTTAGGTACCGTACGAGTACTCGTACAGTATAATTCCCAAAGTGAGTTAAAACCCTGCACGATTGCGAGAGAGTTTCCGAAGCTCGCAGAGGCGGAGGAGGACATTCACTCCCTTAAGGGAACGATACCAAACTTGGAATTCTTTCTTTTCTTTTTTTCTTTCTCCCCCCCCCCCCCTCTCCCCGCTTCTTTAGGCCGCTCCGCTTCAAGAAACTTCTTCCATTATCGATACTACCGTATTGCAGTTGTTTTTTTTTTTTTTTTTTTTTTTTTCACCTTTTTCCACAAGGGGGTAAAAATAAAAATAATAAAATTAATAAAAATTTACAATAGGATATTTCTTCACCATTTCTGCCCCAACCTTAAGGACTCCCATTCTCAAAGGTATAAAATAGAAATTAAAAAAATTAAAAAAAAAATAAAGTAATTCCCATCATCAGAATTCCTGATATAATACCATACCATACCAGAGAATAAATAAATAAAAGATTTAATGAAATACCTCTTCCCCCCCCCCCCTCCAAGACCCATCACCCATAACTCCGGTCGCAGCGCAGCGCACAACAGTTGCACAACTCCCACTCCCCCCCCCTCTCCCATCCCCCACCACCTCCCCCCCGGTTCTCCTCGCGCATTAGTTTTTTTCTTACCCGCGTCTCCTCGAGGTCACGACCCCTTTCTCCAATCCACACAACGTCCATGAAAAGGTACCAGGGATAATGAGGTGTGTGGGTGGGTGGATATTGCTTTTTTCACTCACTCACTCACTTTGGACAGTTAGGAAAGAGAGGGAGAGAGAGGAAGGGAAAAAAAAAAAAAAAAAAAAAGACGTGACTTGGCCCGTACGCGGACTGCATGATTGTGCATGATGGATGGGAAAAAAAAAAAGGATGGATTTATCTCTCTCTCTTTTTTTTTTTTCCTTTCTTTACCTTCCTTTCCCTCTTTCCCTCTTGTTCTAATTTGTCGTTTAGGTTAAGTTATGGGGATTGGTCCCTCCCGACCTTCATCTATTTCCGTTGATATTGACGGAGTGCGATAACCGTAAACAGTCGTACAAGTACTAGTACGTACACTAACTGCTTGTAACTAACTAACGCCGGGATAAAAAAAATCCCAAATTTTAAAATAAAATAAGGTATGATATTATTATGATAAAATAATAATAATAATAATAATAATAATAATAAAATACCTACAAACGATATCACACCCAGCAAAGCAAAGCAAAGCACAAACACTTCACCATAGGAAAAGCGCGGTTTGAAAAACAACCTTCCACAACCGGACGAAGCTCCATCCATCCAATTTCCCCCCCCCGCCTACTTTCTCCTCCTCCCACTCCAACCCACCAGCCAACAACCCACAATACACAATAACAACAACGAAATTTAATAATCTCTTTCTCTCTTTTTTTTTTTTTCCTTTTCCTTTCCTTTTCTTTCTCTCTCTCTCTCTCTCTATTCCCATTCAGCCTCGGCCGTTGCCTGGTACGGTTAGGAACGAAAGGCCCCACCTTCCTTCCTTCCTCCCTCCCTACCTCCTCGCAGGTGGATGTATGTACTTGTATAAGCGTACAGTTAGAAGTACGTGCCTGACCCAAAGCTTTTTATCGTTCGTGCTACACCACTTACTTTTTACTGCCTTGGGCTCGATTTCCCTGATGGTTACGATTGTGGTGATTGATGGGTTCGTACAGTGCGGCGTGGGTACCGGTGGGCAGGTACTGTACCTGTACGAGTTGTGTAGCGTGAGTAGGCGTAGGCGGGATATGATAAATAAAATATCAACTCTTGTCTATCATGGACAACCCACAATTCCAACACGGAGCGGAGGGATGAAATGAAGATTCTATCTCCTACACTTTCAATTTCCGCTTCTCCCTCCCTCCCTTCTCTTGTCGCGTCGGTCTAGGCGTGCTGGGAAAGGTGAGCCATAACAATGATAATATTAATAATAGAAAATAAAAAATAAAAAATAGAAAAGAGAGATGGAAGATGAGAAAGAACGAACTGGGGAGTGAGGGGATGGGGAAAGGAAGAAAACAAAATATACTCGGGTACGGTAGTGATAAAAAAAAAAATAAAAAAAAAAGGCTTCAGCTGGTCTTTGCTCCACTGGTACAAGTCCTTAATTTCTTTTTCCTCCTTCTCTTCCTCTTCATCTCTTTTCTATTTTATTTTTTTCTATTCTTTTTATTATTCCCTCTTTGGTTTATTCATTCACTCACTCGTTCGGTCAGTCTAGTCAACTCAACATAACAACACAACACACCCAAGCAACAACCACCACCACCCCCGGAACACGAATGCGCTGTTCATACGCAACGCACGTAACCCACCCCATCCGTCCCCGCATCCGCCATATCTCTATCCCTTCAGATCTCCCTCCCCCCCACACATAATGCCATTAAACGCCAGCACCATCTGCAGCAACAGTATTATTTCTCTTCTTCTCCTCCCTAAAACTACTCCCTTCTCCCACGAGGACTGTCCCGGGATGCCAAAAATTGAACATTACCAGTGTTGGTAGCATTGGCACTGCTTCTAGCACATAGAAGTATACTTCCTTCTTGCTCAACGTTCCTGGATAATCCTCTGCGAATTCTGCGATTCGGAAGAGCGAGCGGACCTAAACAGTTTTTTGATCGAGAGCTGGGTTAGTTCAGTTCAGTTACAGTAGAGCTGCTGTGTACTACAAAAGAGGGAAGGAGGGGATTTGTTGTTTTTTTCGCTTCTCTTCCCTTCGGCTCAGCTGCAGGGAGGAGTGAGTGACCGATAAGAAAAGATGCACGAGCAGGAAATAAAATTGGGAAAAAAATAGTAATTAAAATGTGGCTGAATGGGGAGAGGGGGATGAATGGAGATGTGATGGGGGGTGGAGAAGCAATGGGTACAAGATACCACACGGAGAGCCTGGATTGGCCGAGTGAGACTTTCAACAACTCATGCGAGTATCGAGTCCATCACTTCTCCCACCCCTCCCTACTCTTCCCTCACCCTCCCGCTACCATCAACCTTCCATCAGGTTGGCATCAACACCCTGGTCGATTGTACGCGGCATCGACAACAAATGGATAACCTTCTCGTTGCGTAGATGGCCATTTTGCGACGCGACTCCATGTGATCAGGAGCGCAGGGGCAAGGAGATACATGTCCCAGTAAATGAAATCAAGGAGAGAGGGGAAAAAAAGGAAATATATATATATATGAAATAAGGTAAACACCCGCGCACCCCGAGCCCGAGCCCGATTCCGATTCCGCAAACCCGCATGCGGGGAGGGGGTGGGAGGGTACCGTATTAGGATGAGGATAATCCTCCACAAACCAAACCAACGCAAGATGAAATAAAAAATAATAATAAAACTCTTGAAACAAAAACTCACCAAGATGCACAAACAACTAATATATAGGCAATACAACAACGCAACGAACCGCTCTCTTCCTTCAACCCCAAACTCCCTCTTATACTTGATGTCAAACCTGATTGTGGTGACGGTGAAGAAGCTAAATGCAATCACCTGCAGTGACAATCCGCCAATGAGTATGTACGACCCTATCCGAAAGTTGTCCCCGTCAGACGAAACCAGGAACCCCGATCCGGAGCCTTGCACCACGAAGGAACTGGAAGAGGGAAAGGAAAGAGAAAAAACATGTTGTCAGCTCCGGGGTCGCACAGGAATGAATAAATGATATAATATAATATACGTCAAAAGGAGATTAGGACGGGTGTGGCGGGGAAGGGTGAGTGAGAAGTGGGGATAGGAAGGGAGAGGAAAAATAAATAAAAATCCACCAACAGGATGTCAAAGAGGACGAAAATAAGCGTTATTCTACGAGCTCGGAGACCCAGGGCTGATTTGGAGGGTAGGAACGTGTTGATAAGGCGCCCGAGGGTCATGTAATCGAACGCCGCAATCCATGCTGGTGCCAGCACTATGAGGGTCAACATCGGAGACTGCAATTGGCCATCGTGGCAGCCAGTATGTCAGATCATATCGCACAAGATTGTTAGGGATAACCGAATGAAACGGAAGGCTAGCCGGTGCGGCGTAGAGAAAAACCCGAATTCGGAGGAGTTTCTCCGAGCTGCCGTGGGAGCCGGTACTTTATTGGGATAACGTTTATTAAGCTGGAGGGGCGGGAAGGTGCCAGAGAGATAGAATAAGGTCCCATACGTAATATCCCTCGCTATTCGGATTGTCAACCGAGAGAATCCGAAGAATA